TCCGATCGATATGATTTCCAAACTGGTTTACTAGAAAATGATTAATCATCGATGATTGATCCTTAACTATTAACTGGAGAGAAAAATTAATCGTCGATGGATTGATCCTAACTGATTACTGAGAGAAATGATTAATCATCATGATTGATTTCCTAAATTATACTGAGAAAATATGAATCGATCGATTGATTCCTAACTGATTTCACTAGAGAAATATAATCGATCATAATTGCATTCCTAACTGATTACTGAAGAAATGATTTATCGAATCGATGATTGATTCCTAACTGATTACTGAGAGAAATGATTTAGTCGATCCGATGATTATTCTAAACTGATCACTGAGAGAAATGAATTAAGTCGATCATGATTGATTCCTAACTGATTACCTGGAAGAAAATGATTTAATCGATCGATGAATGATTCTAACTGATTTACGTGAGAATAATTATCGATCTTGAGTTCCTAATGATTACTGAAGAAATGATTAATACTATCCGATGATTGATCCCTAAGCTGAATACTGAAGAAATAAAATGATCGATGTTATCTCTAACTGTTACTATTCCTAACGAGCTAGACAGTGACACATTACTGCTGTATAACACCACCGCCGGTGAAATTCACGCCAAACAAAAAGAAACAGGAAGTGATCGGCGGAATCGATAATGCTATTAATCGCTGAATAAGTGAAGAATTCAAAGCACCGAATCATTTTGTCCTAATTCTTTAGGTAACTTACCTGCACAGTAATTTCTTATTCCCTGTCACAAATACCAAGGATTCCCTGGCGAATCATGTACTGGCCAAAAAATAATCCCGACACCATATATTACAATTTTGAACTGGAATGTGGGTGTAAAACATACCCCTAATCCGTAATTTTGCTGTTTGCGCACAATAGACGGAAAACCACCTTTTTGGGATCGCCAATCAAATAGGACAAAATGCAGAAAGGAATCAAAAAAAGGGCAGAAACACAGAAACCAATCTCAAGGACAAACAAGAAGCTTCTCAAAAGAGCTGGCGTCGCAGACTCTGAATTTAAAGAAGAGAAGTAGAGTCTCCCAAACAGAGCCGCTTTCTGTTTCTACATCACATTTTATTTCAAGCACTAGAACAACAAACTCCAAGTGGCCAATGTTTCTATAATTTAGTTTTCAAAAGCACAAACAGACCTACGATTATCCCTATACCATCATGTATACTTCTCTCGAAGGCGCCCACTTGAAACAAAAAAGCAAATTGAAAATCCCCCCAACCAATCAAATTCCGGTTCCGGTTTTGGATGAAACCTTGAACAAAAGAAAATCGCTCGCTCGCAACCTACTTTCTCCTATTTTCATTTGTCAACAGAGTCAAACATGAATAAAGAATGTTGACGTGATAGATCAGACAAAAAAAGCTTTAGTTTACTCAAATGTTTGCTTTTTCAAACCATTTTCAATTTTTACCACCAAAACATAACTTTTGCTAAAAATGTTGGGTTTAACCCTTTAAAACCCTTCAAAACCCGCATGCTCAACTTTATTTTCAAGACCCGCCTAAAAACCGCACTGCATGAAAACTACAGTCCATTCTCTATTTCCCACTAATACACCCCAACCTGCCCTTTAAGTAAATCCAAACACTCAGTCATGTAATTCCATTTATTTTGTCTTAAATGAATTGACAGTTCAAACCCCCGCGTACTTTCAGGGTACATCACATAATACATGATTGCCAGCATCAAATAGTGATCTCTTATTCGTGTTACTGTGTTTTTTGTCATTTGTATGCAAAACTTTAAAAAAAGATACGGATTACATTTTTTTAAAAAGAAACCTTATTCACTCTATTGTTGAAAGAAAACTTAAAGTAAAAAAGATTCAATTGAATAGCTTTCTTTTTGAAAAGAGTTATGGAAGAAAAACACGAATTGTGGAATCAACCAATTAATTTCTTTTTTGGAAGCTTTATTACCATGATTAGTGCAGAATCATGACGGATTCCCTGACCATTATGCCTGAATATTCATGCCCGATTCATTATTAAGCACGCCTTAGGACGGCAATCTGTTCGCGCGACGCGAAGCGGTCAGAGTTTACTCGTGCGTTCGCGAGCGCGCGAAGCCCATAGCTTCAGCTTTCGCCTCTATCATTTCGGTAGTTCTGCAGCAATGGATTTCACTTGTGAGTTGTCCAGCACGCATGCGTAAACTCCGTTGCTTCCCATAAAATGAACATTATCTCCTAGTAGGAAATTGGCATTTTTCGGATCCTTCAAATTAGGAGGCCAGGGACCAAAGCTCCTATTTTTTGCGAATAATACAGCGTTTTTCAATTATTTTTTGTAAAGGGTCTTGAACCCGCTCTTTGCTCATTGTTTACTCCAGGACAGAGGGCTGCCTCACCCACCTGAAAACTTAACTCCCTTGTCATCACATCAATCTCGAAAAAGATCCTTCGGCCAATTCTTTTCTAGCCTTTACTATATATATATATACGCAATTAATGTAACATCTTCAGGGCAATAGCTGCACAATTTTGCTCATTTTTGAAATAGCGTTCCGTGCCAGACTTTTAAATAAACTTTACCCGCTCAGCGAGCGCTACAACGCTTCGCGAGACTTCGTGCGCGAAATTTGTGGCAAAGGTTATCAAAAAGATCTTGTATTCCAGAGTTTTTTCTTGTTCTCAAAAGACAGAAGTTTAAATGAAGGAATATTCAAGGAGAAGATAACCAGATAAGAAAGTATTACGCGCGGGCTCGGCCGCAGATTCTTCACAATGCACGGTTATAAGCAAAGATGAACATTATTGCGCGCGTTCCCCGCGAAACGAAACTTTACCGCCTTGCAGACGAATGCTTTGAGACTGCTGTTTAGCAAAAAGTCCAGTAAAATAGTTGTAATATAAAGCAAACGTTTAATATTTTACTTATTTGAGTTTTTGGACATGTTAAAGGTGTAGAGTCTAAGTTCATGTTGAGAACTTGAGAGAAAGTCTGATAAATACGAGTTGGTACGACAATTTTTGGCTTCTTGCCAAAATATTTCCTCGCTTCGTTTTATTTTATTTACTTAATGTGATAGCTTCATGTTATTCACTGTGGCAAAGTAACATAAGTAGCAAAGTTAAGGTCAGAAATAAGTGCAAAGGACAAAGTATTAAAGGACAAAGTATCAAAAGACAAAGTATTAAAGGTCAAATTACCGGAATTCCTGCCCAATATGGCGTAAGCGTCGTGCTTGCATTTCCGAGTTTTCCTCCCAGAACAAAACTGCAAATTATAATTATCAAGCCAAAAACCAACTCGATACCTCCTAATACCAACGCTGCAATCGCATGGTTCTTTGACACTTGTTTTCCAGACATTTTCTTATGTTTTTCCGTTGAAATTTAGGCGAAGTAGAAATTAACGTTTGGCTCAGCAAAACTCACTCGCAATGTAAATCTATTAATTTGTAAAGCTTGTAAAGCTCTTGTTTACTATTGGCTGTTTCTGTATCCATTAGCAACAGTGCTACAAACAACGCCCTGAGATAATAGACCACCTTAAATCGAGAGGCTGTTTTCTAAAATTAGTATCAGGGGGGTTGGAAATAATTATGATAAGCGTATGCGATAACAATCGTTTAGTTCTCATGTTGGCTTGAATGTATTTGAAAATACAAGCCGACATTTGACAGACGTTTCAAGACATGCTCATGAGAATTCCACCAAAATATTTTAAAACGTGGTAAATCTTTTGTTAATTGTTGCTAAGAGATGAGAAAGTCTTTTGTCTTTATTTATTCATTGTTTTCCTGCCAAGCAGTTTCTATCCTTGGTAGGAGTAGAGTGAATGCTCGAATGCGCTCCCAGCGTGCGATCGAAACACATGTGCGATACCAGTTGCATGATATAAAGCTAAGGCCTGGTTCAAACGTCGCGCTTCTCATGTGCCGAACCTAGCTCGAGAATTAAGTACATGAGGGGCGCGACGTCTGAATCAATTTGGTACGGCAGATTGAGTGTTAGGAGCGGCAGACTAGTTTGGATCGGCAGAGCTTGTCGAGCTGCACGACTCCAGCACGGCACGGTTTCAAGCGTCAAACTTGTCATGTACCAAACTCAATGCATAATTATATTTAATTTATTTACCTGCCCAGAATTCATTGCTTTCTCGGAGGGCGCATGCGTTTCAAACAAATATTTGAGATTGAGCGCCTTAACCAAGATACTTCATGTAACAATCCTAAAACCCATTTGGCGCGACATAATTAAGTTCGACGTTTGAAACGGGAGTCGCGCTAAACATGCTCAAGTGTCGCTCCAAACAGAGTTAGGTTCGGCACATGAGAAGTGCGACGTTTGAACCAGGCATAAGGTTTATGGAATTCCAATAATTTAATGCAATGAAACTTTAAAATATAAAAAGCAAAGTTATGGAAGATGAATTCTATGACATAAAAGGCAAAAGTATGTCTAGAACTCATGTACCGCATGAATTGCTTTCTCTAAGGGGTCCATTTTAAAGATTTTTTTAATTTTAGCAGGGTGTGCACGTTAATATGGCCGTCGCTATAGAAGGTATGACCCCCTAGGAAAAATATGCAAAAAATTTTCAAAAAAGAAGTAAATTGAGAAGTATAATCATTTTAAGGAAGTGAAGCTTTGAAAAGATGGCGAGAGTTCCTCAATTCGGATAAATGTCAGAAAATTTGGGCTACAGACTCTGGACATCCTGTTGTGTGTCTTTTGCCTAAAATCGTGGGCCTGAGTCCCCCCCTTTTAAACCCCTCGACTATTCAGACTGACTAAATCGTAGGCCAAAGGAGCCCCCCCCCCTTAATGTAACCCTTTTTTCTACAACTAAGCGAAAGGGCAACATGAATCTTCTGCGGTTGTAAAAATAACAGAGCAACTCTTGCTAAAAATCCATCCTTGGAAATAAAGTTGCTGGAGGACAATTTAAGGTTGGCACTTACAATCAAAGAAATACAACAAGGAAAAAGCGCTACAAATGACAAAAAAAGGTTTCAAAGAATTCAAGTTCATAAATAAATGATGTGCTTTAAACTAGGTTACAGTATTTCTAAGCCTATTCACTGATTATGACACAAGCAAGAAGGGGTCTCCACCGGTGGGGATTTACTGCAAAAGGGTATTTGTCCTGCTTTGTTTTGCCTATAAGAAAAGCAAGAGCAAAGCCTTATAGCATGGAACAGAGACTGACAAACAGGAGTGAGGCCAGACAAAAATGCTGAGACATACCTAACCCTAACCCTAACCCTAACACTAACCCTAACCCTAACCCTAAACCTAAACCTAAACCTAACCCTAACCCTAACCCTAGCCCTTTACTTGAAATAATTAATCATACTAATTTATGACTATTAACCATGCTTATTTATGACTATCAGGTCGAGCAGTATGTAAACTAGACAATTCCGAGACATACACACACTGATCTATGAACAAGATTAGTGCATACACAGCAACACAAAGATTTGTAAACAGATATCATTTGAGAAAACCATTGTATTTGAAAAAGGGGCAGCTGTTAGTGGAGTATGATGGGGTAACTTGAAGGAAAATCATAAAGCTGATACTTTTGAGAGAAAATTGGGGAAGTGGGGCAGGGGAATGTTAGCAATTCCTGCATGTATCTTAAGAGTTATACTTATAGCATTCAAAGGTTTTACAGTTCAAACATTATTCAGTTGCGAAGTCTTTCGGTGAGTATCGATATACGACAATTGTGCAGAAAAACGAGGGAAAGCGCGTGTAATCCCTCAACTTTTAACTCATAGGGTAAGATGGTGGAGCATTTTGTTGTTGGCCAGGTTGAACCACAGTTCCTGGGGCCTGCACAATAACTGTTGTGTTTTGACTGCCCTGAAAAACAAAAGAGAAACTATTTGTCATCCAGGCTGTGAATCTTGAAAGACGAAGTTTTACCAAATGAGGACCCTGGGTACGAGCGCCTCATAAATCCCGGGATGAAGTATTGTAGACAGCTTGCTCAAAATTTTTTCTGAGACTGAATAATGGACACTCTGGAACCCAGGGCACCAAATTAGAAGAGGCAAAATATTAAATTTCATTTCTTAATACTTCACTTCTTTCTTCTTTCTCTCTTATCTTTTTCACTTTTTTTTCATTCTCTTATAATTGCAACATACGGGCATGTGAAAACATTTTAATATAGAAAGAGGAAATTTTACGATAAAAGGGGGAAATATAAGGGATACTGGAGAGCACTGTGCAATATGTGCCAATGAGAAATCCTGCAAGATGCAGAGATGGATGAAACCATCCTATCACCTGTTACTCTGGATACCCAAGCCACATAAAGTCAAGAGTGGAAACAGAAGATTGGAGTGAAGATGCAGAGGAGTGTCTCTTTCTTCTCTGCTGGCCCTTCCAACGCTTCTCTACTCGACATTCTGTTTACGTGCTCGAAGTTTTGTGGATCTGGTACCCAGGGTAATCACCTCTCTTCCACAAACTAAAGACTATAAATCCAAACGATAATTCTGACCATCTAGTGAAAATTGAGCCATGCTCTACCCCCTGCAGCCCCTCCAACCTTGCTTACATATAGGTAGGTCAGAATATGATTACCTCTAAGACAGGTATCTTCTACTGGCTGAATCAAGCTTTTTTGTTGAATAAAGGACTGCTGAATATTCACCGAATTTTGTTGGATATTCACCGAAAAAGCACCCACACATAGCTAAAACTCCTCGTTTTTGAGAAAAAACGTTATTCAAAATTGCATTTTACAGTAGCTCAGCCTCAGCTTGTTCTTAATTTGTTCTTAACTTTTGACCAATTTTGAGGCTCGTGTTCTTATAATATTGTTCTTTTATAAAAGAGTGTAAATAATGAAGGCTCCTGCACTCATGGGGTAACATCGACGCAACGTGGTCTTATCGAGAGGAAAGACCAGGTTACTGCTCAATAAGCATAGCTTCTCAGTGCCTTAAAAGCTTCAATCGAAACAAGTGCAAAAAAAGTACAAAGTCTGAAGAAATCTTACCCTACAACATGTTGCAATGCAACCGAGAATGGATCCTGCCAAAGCAACTATGGCCGCAAAGATGGCGAACACGACAATACACCAGAGCAGAGAAACAATAGTTTTTATTGTGCTGCAGCTGTCAACTGGAAAAAAGGAAAACATTATTGCTATGACGTATATTTTTCCTACACTAGAACCCAGTACTTTAAGCATACAATGCTTTATAGGCTACTAAATGAAATAGAATCCGCGGAAAATTGAAATAGTTTCAAAGATAGATAGAAAAGTGGAATTGCCCAAGCTGTAAATGCAACGCTTTTTAGATGCTATTAGTTTGTGTCTTAAATTTTAGCTTTCATAAATCCCTTTACGTATTACACTGTAAATATATTTTGTTTATTTATGTACATTTAATTTTTTATTCATTTATTTGTGTAGCTATTTATTCATCTGTATTAATTTTCTTTGTACATACTGTATAATATTGTATATAGTGAGCTACATCACTGCTTACAATTGTGGGGGTTTATTACACCTGCCCCCTTCCGTTCGACAAACCCCTAAATTCAAATCCTCATAGTGTCACTATGCAGGCGCATTCGATATATATGGCGCCAATTCTCAAAATTCTCAAAATGGCCAAGAGGAATTTTGTCGTGTTTTGTTCTCAAGGAATCGTGACAAGAAAACTGATCATAGATGCAAAGCAAAACTAAAAGCAACACTAAATTAGGTAAGCTTCATTTCAGATAATTTTCCAAATGAATCGTGGTTCTCCAAAGAACGATTTATCGACTAGTTCTATATTTTATGGCCTAAGCTACATCGAAGCCTTCGTTTCTAATATCATTTAATATTAAAGAAAACGTTTGGGTTGGAACATAAACATCAGCGTTAATAAACATACATCACTATAACTTCAGGGTGAACATGAATATTTCATCGGATTTGGGGTTGAAGAAGGGGCAAACTTTTCCCAATGTATAACATGGAGATTTCATTTCATTTTTATTTTGAAGCAATTCAAGGATGGCGACCCTTCACTATTGTATATTTTTAAGGGACCCATAACAAATTAAAACTCATATCAAATCTATTTCTAATTAAGAATCAATAAGCTCAAATTTACAAAGATCTAAGTTCTAAGCTCGAATTAGGCCTAAATCAAATATTATGTGAACTATTCAGTAGATTTTAAATAGAAAAAGAGATCGAAGAGAGAAACTATTTTTTTGTCAAAAAGGAACACACATTATTGGACTTTGGTGGAGATTTCTTTAATATAAACACATCGCACCATGAAGTTTGAAAGTCATATATGGGATATTTCATATCAAATGTACTCAGCTTGTAAAATGACCCTTAAAATTGATGTTTTTTATAATTTGCATGGGTGTAGGGCCTTATAAGAAAAAACTCACACCAAAAATTGATGGGTCGAGAATTGCAAGTTTTGATGGGTCGAGAATTGCAAAATTTCCAAAATCTTTTAGATGATAATTTTTTATCAATCGATTTCGTTTCGCTGCCCAGAAAAGTTACCAACAATTATTTGAACAAAAATAGATTTTTTACTCAATTTGATGTTTGTGCAATTTGTCAAATCCCTTCACGATTTTTTTCTAACCCTGCTGTAATTATGAACCCCCGGTTTAAGCATGCTAACTCGTTCATATTATGCATTGTGTGCAAGAACACGCAAAAAATTTATATGTAAATTTATGATAATAAATGCTAATCATTCGTTAATTCGATTGAAGTGTTTTGCGTCATTGCTGGTGGTGTGACTTGATAAATTTTAATGGCCTAAATTTTCAAAAACAGGGCTAGTTAATTGAGAACTTGTCGAAGAATTAAGATGCTTGATTAATAATTCAAAGATTCTTTGTTTTTGCGAAGTACTTGTTGTCGAGCATGTAAAAATGGCTGCAAAGGTTTTTTGATTGTAGCGTTATAAAACTTTATTCTTGAAACTAGTTTCCACTTATGCCAAGAATTCTTGCAATTCAGAAAAACGATGACAGAACTGTGTAAAATTAAGGTTTTGTAATATAATCTTGGTACAATATTAAAAAAAATTGCAATTGGGTTTTTGCCCGTTGAAAACTTCGTACCATTCACCCTACATAATTAAGCTATCAGTTTATGTCCCTAAAAATTTAAATTGTGCTTTTAGGACTAGGTATGACTTTGTGATGATAGGGAAGTATGTTCAAAGGAGAAAATGATTTTTGTATTTTACCGATTTCTTCGGTTTTCTAATGCATTCCTTGAAATACTTCTCGTTGCCTTGTTGAGATTTCTACTCTTATCGGTTGGGTAACAGAATATTGTTCAGAGGCTACGGAGGAGCGTCAATAAGAGACTGCGGAGAACAATGGCGGAATGGCAAGAGAGGCTGGTTGAAACTGTGCAGGCCATTGTTCACCCACAATAGATGAGGAGTTTGGTAGTAATAATGATGATACAGGGATGAAGGCTCTCTGCTTAGGCTTGTTTATTGTTCACTTGCTCACGCTACAGCACCAGTGTACATCACATGCATCCTCTACGTCACTCACAATATCACGTGTCTGCTCATTCCTGCTGCTTACTAACCATTGGTTGCGTTAAATTTCACACTTTTTAAAGGCATTGAGCCATGGTAAAAGGACGAAATACTTCCGCAAAAGAATTCTAAGAAAACACAGCTTCATTCTAAGAACTGGCGCATTCTAAGACTTCGTAATCTTAACTTGACTTCTAAAACCGATCTGAATGAATCATGCATTGACGGCATTGAGTCATGACTAAAGGAGAGGGTATACCCAAGTATGCGCAGTAACGATTTGAGCTCTTTTGGAGAGTAAAACAAATGTGAGTTTGATGCTGTATGTCTTAAAATAGAGATATTCGCCTTTGGAATCATCAGAATTATAATGCGATACAGTTACACCTTGTGTCGCTCGAGAATAATTTAAGATTAATCTAAGCCTAAAATCGTAAAATTGTAAAAAGATTGGAGCAAAAATAGGTATTCTCATAAAAAAGCATGTATGTATTTGTCGCTTCTTTATATTCATAATGTAATGTATTAGGTGTAAACCATTTTATACTAGCCTCGGATTAGAGTTGATAGAGGAGATTAGATCAGGGTCGGAGTGAAAACATGGCGTCTTGTCTCGTGTGCTCTAGGTCTAGCGTTAGGTCGCAGCGGATCTTAGGCATCGAGCGCGCATACACAACACATAACTTTATATATTAATGGCGAATCAGGACCGAAAAATCCGATTAACCTCGTGGCATACATGCCAAGGAGTTTTTTGCCTTTATTAGCGTATCACATATGTTCAGGGGAGGTTCGAAACAATACTTTCTTAAACCAATCAGTGTTGCAGGGTTATAGCACATGCGCATTAATAACAGTATTCACACAGATGTACTATCTGGGAACACACAACACTTAAACTTCCCGCCAGGGCTTCAAGTGATAATGCGCATGTGCAATGACTCTGAAACGGGGGCTAATGCATGTCTGGAAGACGGCCATGATTCATCTCCCGAACAAGTAGTATGACATCCATCGAAGCAAGTTGCCTATTCACAATCAACATATCTGCCTTTCTGATTGTCCAGTTTCATACACAGTGGGACACTCTTGTATTGGTCAATACTAGGGATTTGTGACCAAACTGGATGGGCTTTAAAGGTAACTGTTGTGACTCGGGCGGGACAAAAGTGTGTACCACAGAGAGACACATGCTTTCTAACAAGAAGATATATATATATATATAAGTATATATATATGATTATATGTAATTATTTATACTCAAGAGAGAGAATCTCTCTCTATGCCTCGTGTATCTAACTCTAATCAATACTGGCGACGGGAGGGCGTAATAAGAAGAGAGTCCGGAAATGCCAAATATGGTAAGACCTTCTCGCCATGTGTCCCGGAGCCCTGGACCCAAATGGAGGTTTTCTGTCTCCTTCGCAACAGTAACAACCTGCAGATGGGTCCGAATTTCTCAGTGAAAATCAGATCTGCCTTCTCATTGTTTCTTCAAATGGTACCCATAATTCCGCACATACAGTATTTAAAAAATTTGTACCTCTAATTCTGTCCTTATCAAAAAAAGTACCTTTAAATGATGGCACGTCTCTGTACCTCAAACCTATTAATTTATCACCCCCCCCCCTTCGAATCTGCCTCACAAATGTGTGGCCCCGTTAGTTCCTACAACTCAGCACAAGGTGATAAGGAATACATACCTTGGTATTTATAAACCGCGCCATTATGAGAACAGTAACACCAGTTTTTGCCAAGGATGGTTCTGTTGGAACAGTTATTTGTAAGCTCAGATACAATCGAGGCCCAAATTCCGATTATGAGGAACATCAATATGGCGGCAATACCGTCGATTATGAAACAAATGATGTTCAAAACCATGAAAGCAACCATCTAGGAGAAGAAATGTAGAGAGGCTTTAAATTCTGGGATTTTCCAATAGTGATGTCATGTCATGTTATGTCATGCACTTCCATTTCGAAGCATGTCATTTGATGTCCTGTCCTGTCCTGTCCTGTCCTGTCCTGTCCTGTCCTGTCCTGTCCTGTCCTGTCCTGTCCTGTCCTGTCCTGTCCTGTCCTGTCCTGTCCTGTCCTGTCCTGTCCTGTCCTGTCCTGCCCTGTCCTGTCCTGTCCTGTCCTGTCCTGTCCTGTCCTGTCCTGTCCTGTCCTGTCCTGTCCTGTCCTGTCCTGTCCTGTCCTGTCCTGTCCTGTCCTGTCCTGTCCTGTCCTGTCCTGTCCTGTCCTGTCCTGTCACATGTCATATGTCACATGTCACATGTCATGTTTCATATTTGATATGTCATGTTTCATATTTGATATGTCATATGTCATTTGTCATGTATCCTGTACAGCTCTATCTTGAGTCATACGTCGTGACCTATTCTGTCATATGTCATATTTCATATGACATACTGTATATCACGTTAAGTAGCATCTCGCCATGTCAAGTAGCGCAGTACCATGTCATCAACTCAGACCAAGTTTGGTCATCATGTCTTACGACTCCAAAACAACAGATTAAGCAAAGTAGTAAAAAAGTAAGACTTACGGCACAAAAGTTCTTTGTCACACCAGAGACAATTCCTAATATCCCAGGAATCAGATACTGCAAAGGAAAATTACGAGAAATGAGCATTTGAGGGTCAAAGGTTCTAATTGCTAGACGCTTCAGGGTCAAAGGTTCTAATTGCTAGACGCTTCAGGGTCAAAGGTTCTTATTGCTAGACGCCTCAGGGTCAAAGGTTCTAATTGCTAGACGCTTCAGGGTCAAAGGTTCTTATTGCTAGACGCTTCAGGGTCAAAGGTTCTGATTGCTAGACGCCTCAGGGTCAAAGGTTCTTATTTAAAGGGGGGCTATTATAGATTTGCGGCTTAAAGCCTCGACCCTATTTCTACGTGCGGCCTACGGATTTGGCAATGGGTTGTTTCTGCGGATTGTGGCTTCACAGGGGCTATATTAGTTGATTTTGGGGCAAAGTATTTAATATGTAAAATCACTTTATTCTATGTTTTTTTCAGAAACACATTTATTTGCAAATTAGCAAAAAAAAACTTGAGAACCTTCGCCAAAAACAAAAATTCGTCTCTTTTTCATTTAGCGTTAGATTATAATTATTTATGTAATTTAATTTAAAATGTATTATAAATAAGTTTTATTTCTTTTCATTTTTCAAAGGGCCAAAAGTAAGTCTCTTTTTAACGCTTATTTATTAAATTGTATAAATAAGTTTGAATAAAATGAAACAAAATTATCAGTCCTCTGTCGATATTGACTTGTTATTCTTCACCAACTTTTGCAATTTGTAACTGAATCTTTCCTTGACCTTCCAATTTTCTAAGGGTTTCTCAATTGTTATCTGCCTTAGTGTCTTATCTTTACAGAAAAAAAGTAAATCTCCAAACAATCCCTTGAAACATTCCCAGCTACACGTGAAGACACCATTAAATTTTAATTATTTTTTTACCTCAGTTTAGGTCATATAAAATATTTAGTGCCGGCGCGCGTGTATACAATTAAATAATTGCTTCTCTCAATTACCAATCAAGCAACGTGGCCGCAACTCGAAAACGGGCGACAAAAGATTAACCGCGCGGCCAAAATGGTTCTTGCGTACTCATACCTTGCGTTTGGAAGAGGAAGGGGAATGAAAATCGCAGAAAATGGAAAACTATTTTTCTATATGTAAAAAAGAATTTAATCTATCTTCTCATGGTACAGAATTTAAAAACGGATTTGAAAAAATCAAGCATTTTGAAACATCTTACTGGAGCTTTTTATCGGTCACTCTCTACAGAGTATAAAACGTGAGAACATAGATCGAAAACTCAAGGAATTTTATTTATGGAAAATTGGCCAAGGCATGGAAAAACTTCCTCGCCAATTGGCTTGTTGATAATTTTATCAAAATCTGTTTTAAATTTTCACGAAATAGTCTAAAAGAAAACCTCTAAATAGAGTTCTAAGGTGATGATGTCACAAAAAAAATTTTAAACAATTTTTTTGCGGTACAGGATTTGAAAATGGCTTCGAAAAAAGCAAACATTTCACAACATACTAAGAGCTTTTTTGTCTTACACTCCTCAGAGCATAAAACGTCAGAATAAGGGTCCGAAAGAACACGATGAAAAATATATACCCAGTTGTGGATCGAAATAGGCCAATCAGAAAAACGCAAGCACAAGACCGGTATAGTTGACCAATCAATGCCGCGAGCCTAAAGAAAATTACCAATGGAGTCCAAGAGAGAAAACGAACTCCTTCTGTCTACACAATGGCGGCCTTTTCGTTTGTATGTTTGTAAATTTTTTTTTAGAAATTTTGAATTTTAATCCTACAGCTTGAAAGAGAATCATGAATTACCCCTTTGTATGCAAACTCATTTGAAGGTATTACGAATTGGCAGAGGGCAAATGAACACAGACTTGTATCGAGAGTCGCATCAAACTTCAGAACTTTGGTCTCTGGACATAACTTTCTGGGCCTAGCCAAAATAACAGTTATTCGTTAGCAAATTTCAAATCTTTCATCGTCCATTTTTCAACCGAATGTTGTCATATTTAATTTATATGTGTATGTGTTTCACGGTGTCGATGGTCTTTTGTTAAATGCCCACAAAACAATATTTTTAAAATAGATCTTTCTCGACGTCATATTCAAAAACAGCATTGGGGAAAATTGTATAGAATAAAACCATTAAATGACGGTTTTCTGAACGAATAAAAAAAAGGTAAGATGTTTCGAGCATAACACATACCTCGAAATGTTATACCTATTATTTCATTCATGTACAAAGTCGTTATTAAATTGTATAATTTCTTTCTAATTATTCATCAACGTACAACACGCCAAACTTCATTGATTCTCGTGGAAAATTATAGCTTGTTTATCAGCTTTGCTCCGAAATATTCCATCTCGTTAACAATAAGTATGTTTTTATTTTCAAAATCCTTTGTTAAAGTTTGTAAGAAGAAGTATTTTCGTAAATGAAGACGTTGTTAAAAAGTCCTCATTCATGCTTAGAGTTAGCTTTGTTTTATTTTGACATTTAAATAATGTTTTGTATGGTTTTCAATACCCAGCTGCTCCGTTCCGTATTTTGGAATTACGTTAATCTTTCGTGTATTCGTGTACAACTATAGTGCTTGAATTAATTTTTAGACCTCATGTGCTAAGATTTAATCTTTTATTAATAATTAATGAGTTAGAATAAAAAATATTATGTGCAAAAGTATGGATTTTTATTGATAAGTTATGAGCTAATATATGAAATATCATGTGCTTAAATATAAATTTTATTGATAACTTAAGAATTAATATAGAAAATATTATATGCTAAAATATAAATTCCTGTTAATAATTAATAAAATCTGTATACCTAATGAATCGTCTTCTATTACGCAATGAAATGTGTACAGCTCCCCTCAAATAGGAAAGCCAAAAGTTATGTTTCTTAACCGCTTTTAGAGTTAAAAGCAACTGCAGTTCAAAGGAGAAAGATACATTCGGCAACGAACTGCGGAGGAGACAAATGTATTCATTGGTTGCCAAGGCAACAGGTAAGTCATACGTGGAGAATTTTGTTTTGGTTTTTTTCATAATTTACTTAAATTTGCTTGTTACGAGACCTAGAGTATCTTTTTTCAAAGTATGGAGAGAATTATGGTTTAATTTCGCAAGTTTTCCTACCTTGTCGGAATGTTTATTAATATTTCCTCTTACCCCTCCCCACCTCTTAAAAAAACATCTAACTCCTTATCGCCGCCTTTTGGGGATACTTTTTTCCTCCTCACCGGAAGTGATTTGTGTTTACCGAAATTAGATATTATCTTCGTAGCCTTGACCAAACACTCTAGTCTCTTTCCATGCGCTTTGATCATAGTGCGGTATGCGGGACATTTTATAGAAGCCGCGAGACCGCGCGAAAATGCTGACGCGCGCTGATTAAAGCATCTGCTCAAGAAGCTGGTTACAATCAAAATTTTTCATCAGATGTTGGAAACTTTCTGTCAAATATTGGTTTAGCAATCATACTTATCACAAAAACGCAAGCACATGATCAGCATAGTTGTCCAATCAGTGCCGCGAGCCTAAAGAAAATTACCACTGGAGTCCAACAGGAAAAACGAACTCCTTCTGTCTGCACAATGGCGGCTTTTTCGTTTGTATGTACTAATAGATCCAAAACTGACGGAATCTTGTGATTAAGGTTAGTTTTGGAATCGATCTACAAACAAACGAAGAAGCATCATACTTATGTATATATTGCTTTAAAAGTTGCTTTAAAAGATCAGGCTTATTTTCAAAACTCGCATTTATTTACCAGTTCTTCACAATCGGAACATTTTGTTTCTTACGTTTGTTCAACTATTTTTTCACAAGTGACATAAACAGATTGAGTAAACAGATGAGCAACCGCGCCGAAAAAGGAAGGTTGACTCGAGGGGAGTATTTGATGATTACGAGGCAGGGGGGTGGTGTGGTATAAAATTCATCTCAAAGTAGCCATTAAAATAGTTACTTTATTTCATTTCGTTTCATTTCATTTCATTTTCTACACCTTTTTTGAAATAGCATATAATTTTTTGCAGAGCCTCAATTTCCTTAAATTTTCCATTTCGAGCCTTAGATCATTCTTAAATTATTCTCAAGCGATACAAGATGTAACTGTTAGCAAATGGATGCGCCATTGTCAATTTCTGCACACTGGTCAGTAATTTAAACAACACCTAGATTTTCTTCTTCTATATCTTGGTCGGTAAACTTACACTTAGTGGACCATCCACCCTCCTAGTCTAGAAGCTACAATCCTTGCCAAAATTGTTGGAGCACTTGTGCAAAGTTTAAGCTTCTTTAGAAAAATCCCCCCCCCCACCCCCACATGTAAAATGTAATTTTTTATAAAAATACAATGTTGCTCAATTCGGCTGAAGATAAAATATTTTGGCACTGATTGGTCAACTATACCGGTCTTGTGCTTGCGTTTTTCTGATTGGCCTATTTCGATCCACAACTGGGTATATATTTTTCCATCGTGTTTTTTCGGAACCTATTCTGACGTTTTATGCTCTGAGGAGTGTCAGACGAAAAAGCTTTTAGTATGTCGTAAAATGTTTGCTTTTTTCAAAGCCATTTTTAAATTCTGTACCGCAAAAAAATTGTTCAAATAAATCAACATTGTACGGGGGAAGGGGGTCGAAATTTTTGAAGCGGTAGTGATATTTTGGCAAGGTAGTTTTAGACTTGCTTTGTTTATTTGCATGCTGCAATGGGAAGGCGTTCCAGTTATTTTTGGCAAGGATTGTAGGTGACTGCAACTCTGCATTAAGTTGAACGATTCAGAAGTCTAACGTATAGAAAGGATCGCTAGTGTTTCAGTCCCAGGTCTTTTTTTTGCTTATTTTCTTTCTTTCATGTAGTTTATTGAAATCACGATCTTTGAATGGCAGTTTGTAAAGTAATTGAATTTATAATTGAAGGTTTTCCCTGCATGAATATTCTAAAATTCAATTGTTTTCCCCAATGGCGGCGCCAGCCACTGAGCCCTGGAGGGGGGGGGGGACAAACCAAAGAAATTGAAGCCACGTCCTTTTAACCACCAGAAAACGCCCTTTTTCCCAACAGGGACGCCAATTTAATCCTAAGGGAACGCCTTTGACTAGCTTTTGCTTGGAAATTGGCAGTTTGAAAATCATAGGATTGCATCACAAATATACATATGTCAAAATATTACCCCTCCCCCAACATTTTCTCATCGAATTTAGACGAAGAACAAAATCGATTCTGCTGAGAACTGGGGGGACGTGTCGGGTCCCCCCCGTGGCACCGCTACTGGTTTTCCCTGTTTTTGTTGCATATATTTTATAAGAACTTTCAATTGATTTGCATTTGTGGATGATTTTATTTCCTTTGAAAGAGAATTCCAAATCTTTGGACCCAAAAAGCTAAAAGATCTAGTACCGTACCCTGCAGTTTTAACCTTGGGAACAGTATTAACTCCTCAAGGATTATAGCTATCGGGTTCATTTGTAGACTGTTTGAAAATCCGTTACAGTTAGGCACAAAACTTACTCTTGCATAACAGAATCAATTTGTTTATCAGTTACTTAGGCGACAATTCCTTTGGTTTCGGCGCCTTTTTCTCCATCAAATCTTGAAAATAAAAACCTTACATAACAATGAGAAGTATTCAAGTTTATTTAAGTTACAAAATCCGTGGTGACAATTATCTAAATGCCTATGGGTGTTCTTTGTGTGGTAGTATTATAATAGACATTCATCAAATACTCGCGTAACCGCTTAACTGCATATTCCGTACCGCCTGCGACGTATGGCTTTGCCGTATCCGGTGTTTAACTAAGTCATGTCAAACATATTGAAATCTTTTCCAACACTAACCCAAATCGTAATTTAGGATATTGTATGTATTACACTCTTTTTTTATAAGAACCAGCAAATTTAAAATCAGGCTGACTGTTCTTATTTTTTTTCGAAAATCTAAGGCTGGATTGTTCTTAATTTGTTCTTAAATTAAGAAGGTGTAAGCAGTGCTATTGCTAGCTTTTTCGCTCTAAGGAAGTGTTCAGGCCTCATTTGCCAACAAAATGAGTGAGACAGCCTTAATTTGCTGACAAATTTGAATATTCACTGAAAATGCACCCACACATCGCTAAAAATCCTCGATTTTGAGAAAAACGTTGTTCAAAATTGCATTTTGCAGTAGCTCAACCTCAGCTTGTTCTTAATTTGTTGTTAACTTTTGACCAATTTTGAGGCTCGTGTTCTTATTAAAAAAAGAGTGTAGCTGATTCACTCGAACTGTACAATCTTTTCTGACTGATAAAATTCCGATATGTGAATATCTTGATTCAGCGCTTTAACCCGACCCCTTGAACGTAAGAATACTCAAGCAAAGGAATATGTGAAGAGACAAAATACAACGAAAATGTCGGCCTCAGAGTCCTGAGGTAGTTAACCTTCATCTAGGCAAAAACATCCCAGAAGGCAAACCTTTCTCACAAAACAATAGACAATGGGCGTGGCGTGGCGTGGGTGTGTCATAGGAGCTTCTATTGTTTTTCGTGTACCTTCCTCCGGTCAGTGGTCGTGTGACCGTAATGTTTTCCTGACGCTGGTCGGCCTGACGAAATTGACAGACGTGGGGAGTCCGTCGGAAGCCATAGAACAAAGTGACCCGTAGGCGACACTAGAAATTGAGGTACACTGCAACAGTGGGACATAGCAACGGAGAGGGGGCGACAGAGGCATAGCAACGGAGGGGAACAGAAGCTGAGAGGCATAGCAACGGAGGGGCGCAATAACAGTTATGTGGCGACGGACGGCATAGCAACGGAAGGGCATAGAAATGGAGGGAAAATCAACGGAGGGGCACGTAAAGACGCGCAAAGGGGCCTTATACTCAGAACTTTCCGCTGGTTAATAATTTCTATCCTGAATTTAGTCCTAAAGTATTTTATGTCTGATTTCCATGAACAGATTTCTGATTGTCTAATTTCTTGCGTATAATTACGGGAGTAACAGAAGTAAGTGCTTTCAAGGCATGATCGCTAATCAGGTTTGAAGACGGATACATTCGATAGATTGCTAGAAATGGTGTATCTTCAGATAGAGAGTTCTAAACTCAAAGACGGAGGGGGCATCTCATCCACATAGAAGGAGCCCCTAGATTAAAGAGCGGGGAACGTGTTCAGCGGTCTCCCGGCTCCTCCACGCCTGCTGGTACATGAATGCCCGCGCGGTGTTTGTTTCTTAGAACAGTTTCAAATTTGACTAGCAAAGAAGAGCTCCGATCTGAAATTTCACAATGTTTGCTTGGCTGCAAGAGCGAGGAACAATTTATCAAAAGAAAAACTTCTTATATATAAAATATCTGTTTGTAAAGATTTTATTTATAATTTGTTTCCAACTCTTCGAGGTTGCAGTCGCAATTTCAAGCAATTACTTGAGCGGTTTAGCAGATGCGTAGTAAAACTCACCGGGATTCCCGCCCAGTAGGGCGATAATGACGCGTTACCAGCTATTTTGCCTCCGACGACGAAACTGCAGATCATGATGATTAGGCCAAACAGTATCTCCAAAGCGCCAATTACAATGGCTCCGATCCCATGTCCTCTCGCGATTGGTGCACCCATTTTCGAATGTTTTTCCTGCTTTTAAAGCCTCTGCTAGCTTTCTCAAATGATTCGAGTTCACTTGTGCTTCAACAGACCCTTACAGATTACCGCTGTGTACCTTGTTACCTCTATAACTGTATCACCTAGGACGCCGCTAGGATATATCACTACCCGGTGTTATGTGATATAAACAATCCATCTGACAACAGTTGCTACCTAAAAATGCTGTATGGGCATAATCACATGTATGCCATTGATTCAATAGAACTTGTTATTACTAAAAACCACAGACGCATTTAAACCTTTCATGAGCTTTACAATTATGAAATCAGGTCACAGAAACAGAGCAATAGGCGGAAAATCATTTTCGTAACCTGACCAATCAGAACACATGTTTTTTTGTTCATGAATAATTGATCCAATCAAATTTTAGTGGCTATATTGAGAAATTAATCAGGCAAAGCTGATTGGGTGATTACCAGATCCAGGCTACTTTGAGACGTTGCATAACATTTGTATGATATAGACGTTGCATAACAAAAGCTTCTTGCTTCATTCATAAAAAAGGTTAAGCGAATTGCTGATTATGTTGTGGGGTTCTGCGATACAAATATGCCATCTTATAAGGCATAGCTCAGTTCTAGTCTTATAAAGCATAGCTCACTTCTAGTCTTATAAAGCATAGCTCACTTCTAGTCTTATAAAGCATAGCTCAGTTCTAGTCTTATAAAGCATAGCCCAGTTTTAGCTGCGACAATTTTGTTCTCTGGCATTTTTGAGTTTATAAAGCCCTGAGAAATAAAATATTACAAATGGCTTTGAAAAAAGCAAACATTTTGAGTCATACTAAAGCTTTCGGTTTGACACTCTTCAGAGTTCGAATATAGATCAAAACACTACGATAGGAAATGTATATACCCAGTTGTAGATCGAAATAGGCCCATCAGAAACGCGATCACACGACTTTAGATATTGCCCAGTCCGTGCCGTTTGCCTGTTGAGAATGTTACCAATGAATTCCTAAGGTGAAAACGAACTCTATCAGTCTACACAAAAGCAGGTTTTTCGTGCTTATGTAGATAGATTCCAGAACTGCTAGATGGAACGAAACATAACAGATAGCAGAATCGCATCTTCTAGTTGCAGTTTTAGATCTGCACGACCGAGGTGGCTGTTCTCTTTGGGGATGAGTTTTGTTTCTAATACTAGAGGCTGAGTGTGATATTTTGCTGGACTTGAAAAGTTTGTAATTTCCCAGCTAAACTCAATTTTGCAACCTGTTGCTTTTTCAACTGCTTTAATGTGTGTATTGTAATCGGTTAAGTAAATCATAAGAGACAAGTGGTTGTATTCAATATAGCATTTATTCAATACAAAAATGGCGTCGAGTCCCGGAAGCACATCTACACAAACATGTTTAGCATTCCACAAAACATTATCCATAAAGGCAATCTGTCACGACATTGATTGATTAAAAGAACAAAGGAATTTTTTTTTATTGTCTCCAGTCCCCCTTTAATTTATCGCATTGTAACAAATATGGCGGAGCGCTGGAATCGTGTTAAGACAATTGTTCCAGCTATTGTTCTCGTTAGCCAATCCACAACGAGACAGATTGCCTTTAAAGGCATTGAGCCATGGTAACAGAAGAGGGTATACCCAATCGTACCCAAATCCACCGAGTCATAATTTTTTGTGCTGCAGTCATTTTTGTGCCCCTCCAAAAAACATCTTGCAGCATCCCTTGTCCCTGAATTTTCCAATAATCGCCAAAAGCGATGATTTTCTCTAGATTCTCCGAAGCTTTTGAAACCCTTGTGATCTTTCACGTGATCAGTTGTTCATCCGCTCCATATTTCTAACACATATAAATGCCTTCATGTGATCATTTACATAATGTTATCCAATCACATTTATTTATCGAAAGAAAACAAAGAACACAAAACAAAACAAATCAATCACGTGGTTATCTCCATATTGTTAATCACATATGCAATCACAAAAATTTCCTAAACAAACGCAACAGCAAAATGCATAAAAGTGCGAACTTCATTACTTTCAGTTCGCTAGATCTACGTTTAAAGTAACTAGACTACCCTTCCGTGACGTCATTAGTACCCAGTCGCCAACATGCCTCAAAAATATTACAGACCGTCGTGTTCAAGGTATTCCTACCAAAGCGTTGTGTCTAAAATGTAGTGTGTCAAGTCGTTTCTTTATGGACAAATTCGCACGGCTTGCTGAAGTTGACTGCCTACATGACTCAAGGTCACTGAATTCGCTTGAAGTCGTTTAAAGAATTTCAATAGCACACATAGTTCACCAGGGGCGGATCTAGAGCAAATTTGAACGAGGGGCAGTCGGTAGTGGGGCGCTGAAAAATTCCCAAAAATTGTTGACGAGAGTACGCTGTATACCACAATTTCAGATCCATTTTCAGAATAAACAACTTAAGTTTTTTCTAAACATTTTCTAATTAGCCTTGAAGCAAATTAACCTGTCGGTCTCAAAAACTTTTCACCTGATTCTTATTCTTCAAAAGGGGCGCACAATTTCCAAAAAAGGGACGCCAGACTTGCTTCAACTTGTTGAGGGAGGGGCAAATACCCCTAGTTGCCCCTCCTTAAATCCGCTACTA